GACCCTGACCTTTATGATTGGTTCACACACACATGGGGGGGTTGGTCAGAGGTAGGAAGTATCGGAGTACAAATACGTCGTTACTGTACTTAAGTACATTTTTCTGGTATCAGTACTTTACTCCACTACTTATTTTTCGGACGACTTTTTACTTTGACTTCTTACATGTTGAACACAAATACCTGTACTTTCTACTTCTCTCATGTTGAACACAAATACCTGTACTTTCTACTTCTTACATGTTGAACCCAAATACCTGTACTTTCTACTTCTCTCATTTTCCAAACAGGCTGGTTCCTTTAGTCTGAATGTGTGTTTGGTGGCGTGATCATTATTATTTAGAGTCATTGCGTGCCTATTGATTTGAACACGATCCGTGTATCCATCATTTCCTGGTCTTCTCTAAAGAAGAGGGACCAATGAAAACGTTGTCATGTTGCCGTTGTTCAGCATGGAAACATTCATTAGCTAACAATGACATTATTGTTCTATTAATATAAAGGGAGGTCAGGTACTCTTTAAAACAGCTGCTAGTTATGGGTACTTTTTACTGAAGTACATTTCAAAGCCCTCTTTACTTTCACTTGAGTAAAGAAGTTTAGTCAGTACTTCTACTTTCACCAGAGTATTTTTAAACACGATTATCTGTACTTCTACTTGAGTAAAGGATGTGTGTACTTCTGCCCTCTCTGGTCGTGTGCAGGTGGTTTGGGTCGGGACGTGTCTGGGTGCCATCCTGCTGGGTCTGGATATCGGTCTGGCGGTGGGGTTGGGGTTGGAGCTGCTCACTGTCGTCTTCAGGACTCAATTGTAACGTCACAAGTTATTCCTCTGATAACTAAAACACAGATGTACTGCAGTGGATGAGAAATTACATCTTCACCACAAAGTAACACACAATAATTCAGAACTAGAATCAGAATTCCTTTATTCATAAATGTATGTTGTTACAGCAAAAGTAGAGATAGAGACAACAAATAAAGCAGTATTAGATAAAAGGGCTGGCATGCATGTAAGTTATTACAATTTACAAAGTACACATGCAGGTAGAAAAGCAGCAGCGGCAGTATTTTATAATATAAATGAAGTGTAACATGTAGAAGTTATTGTGGTAGAAGCTAGATACCAGGTAAGTTATATATACTTACAGACACTTGTTAGAGTATTCAAATTGTCAAACTATTAACTACTTAAGAAGCACTTATAAGAAACATATACAAGCAAAACCTCAAACTCTAACCAGCAGAAAACCTGCAATGACAATGTGAATTTTCTAAAATAAGATATATAATAATATATTTGTATCATGGTCTTCTCCATGTCTTTCCAGCCCTCGCTGCTCTGTCTTGGTTAACATCTCGGGGACAAACCTGTACAAAGACCGCAAAGATTACCTGGATGTGAGTAAATGCTATCCAATAAACACTTTTAGACACTTTCAGAATCAGCTATTCATCACACTGTATCTCCTCTCAGATATTCGAACCAAACGGAGTAAAGATCTTCAGGATCCCCTCGCCTATCTTCTTCGCTAATATCGAGTTCTTCAGGGACAAGTTGGTGGAAGCTGTACGTAGGACACACACTTCTCCATCCTATACTTCACTTATATTATATAAGATATGATAAGATGTACTTTATTCATCCCAATTTGGCGGGAAATGACGTTGCAGCAGCATACAAAAACAAAACAAGGCATTGCACATATAGTAACAAATTAAAAGAGTAGAAATTCCAAAAATGTGAACTTCTAAAAAAAGAAATAGAAATAAACCAGCATTAGAGAGTAAGAAAATATAGGCCTACTGATGACCGTGAAGATAAAAAATCCATAAACTGTCTGACAAATCAAAACACTATTGAAGGGACAATTTTCTGTTAACCCAATACACACAATATAAGCAAGATATTGTTTACCTCAAGTATATATACAAGTTTATAAAACAGGAAATCAAGTCAAATCAAGCAATCTGATTGGTTCTTAGCCGTGATATAATGAGCGTATACTACGGGTAGAATTGTAGTTACTTTTCACAACAAGTCAGTATCCCTCCGCGTCTGAGAAAAGCTACAACCGTTACAACTGTTACATTACGTCCGTCACGAAACTAACTAACTAACTAACTAACTAACTAACTAACTAACTAACTAACTAACAAAGCTTAAGATGGAAACATGTAAGGGATAATGTGCAGCAAGGACTTATTGACTGTTGTTAATGACGCTCACATCTCACATCTCTCATCTGCAAAAAGAAGTCCGGTCGATTTAACAGTTGGGCTGAAAAGCAAACTGCATGCTTCGCGTCGGGCCGAACCACGCCCCTTAACTGTGATAGAATAACCATATACCACGGCCTGTCGTGAGCTATTGCTTAATTATAAAACGGACAAGTCAAATCAAGCAATCTGATTGGTTCTTAGCCGTGATATACTGAGCGTATACCACGGTTAGAATTGTAAGTTACTTTTCACAACAAGTCAGTATCCCTCCGCGTCTGAGAAAAACAGTATACCCTTGGGCTGAAAAGCAAACTGCATGCAGTTTGCTTTTCAAACTGGAACAAGAAAGCAGCGGAGAAGTAACGGGGCAGAAGCCCTCCTTTTGGACGCAGCGGTCCAGACATAGACATCAAACGGCAAAACATATTCAGTGTGCAGTTCCTTTGACATTAGGGCAGGGATATCTAGATACTTTTGAAGGTTTAACATAATTAATTGTGCTACTTTTAAAGCAAGCAACGATGTTTTCAAATCTGTAATCAAAGAAGGTCCGCAAAAACGACTATCGACC